ACCTCACAACGCCCTCCCAACCCTCTCCAATCCTGCTCCTTCCCAACCCCTCCCTCCACTAACTGTTCTTCGCAAAGTCACCAACAGACTCCATTTTGCCAAATCCAGTGGTGACTTTTCTGGCTTTATCAACCTCATGAAACATTTGACACATACACACATACACACACACACACACCCTTCACGCGGCCTGTTCTTCCCTCTCTACAGGCTCCTTAGGGCATCTCGTCTAGTCTCCTGGACTTAAATACCATCTCCATGCTGATGGCTCCCACATTTTTATCTCGTGCTAGACACTGTATCAAACACCTACTTGACATCTCCCCTTTGAGTCTAACAGGTATCTCAAACTTAGTGGTGCTCAAACTGAGATATTTCGATTCCACCCCTCCCTCTTCCAATCCTCCCCCATCTCAGCAAACAGTACCACCATTTACCCAACTGCTCAAGCCAGAAACCTCAGAGTTACCCTGGACTCCTTCTCCCCCTCTCCTCCCAACCCCACCAAATCCCCAGCAGCCCTGCCCATTCCACCTCTAATGTCACCTCCCACCTCCTCACTTCACCTGCCAACTGCCTCTTTACTGCACTCCCCAGTTCCACGCCTGCCCCTCCCTGCTCTCTGCTCTACCAGTGCACTCCCCTTTGAACATGAGTTAGGGGCCATCAATTCCCACTCCAAACTTTCAATGGCTTCCCACTACACTTCAAATGAAAGCCAAACCTTATCAAGGCCCACAGAGTCCTGTACAATCACTTCATACTGCCCTCTCTCCCTCCCCCTTGTCAATCTGTGTCTCTTTGAGTCCCCCCAAAGCCAGAGTCCTACTGCTCAGGCTCTCTCCTCTGCCTGAAGCGCTGTCTCCCCTTCACCCCCAATCCTCAGAGAGGCCTTTCCAGGCTATTCTAACTAAGCCTATCCAGATCACTGCCCCTGAGGTTTCATCAGAGCATGTATCACAACTGGCAATATGTATTTCTTTACATGCCTGCCTCTGGAAGGCAAGCTGGGGGTGGGGGTAGGGTATGGGTAGAGGGAGGTGACTATGTCTCTTTCATTATCAACCTATTCCCAGAGCCTTAACACAGCGCCTGGTAAATAGTAAATGCTCAATAAGTAGCTGCCAAATGTATAAAAGAAACCACAGCCGCTTACAGCATGAAAATAACTGTCATCTCGTTCTACAGCTCAGAGTCATCACTGCCATTTAGATACAGAGGGTCTTTTTCCTCTTCCTCCCCCATTAAAAAAATATTAATGTTTTAATGATGCTAAACCAACAGCCCAATAGCTCAGCATATCCCACCCCAGGCCCAGCTTACTGTCTTCCAACAGGAAAACTCAAAAAATCATCTGTTTCTTCAGTAAACCCAAATTACTATTCTACAAACAGAACTTAAAATTCTTAGAAAATATCACAGAGGTTTTTTGTTGTGTGTTTTCTTTAACTCAGAAGAAAAGATTTATTAACAGAGCCCTGGGGTCAAGCTCATGTTACTAAACCCATACTATCCCTTAAAAATGCCGCAGCACCCTTGTGGACAAGCACACCAATAACTGGAATCCAGCTACTCTTGTCTTCCTCTCCCCACAAAAGAAATCAGCTATGTTTTAGTTTCTCCTTTATTTCACTGCTTCCCCTCCAACATGCAAATTCAGAAATAGCATTAATCCACAAGGTCCCAGCTGATTCTACTCCTCCCACCTCCCTCCGCCACATAGTTTTATGAGGTCAGAAATAAAATGGGCTGAATTCAACTGCCTTTTAGAGCAGGACCATCAGCACCCGCCTTCACAGCCTAGGGTCTGAGCCACTTTTCTGGATCTCTATTTTTCATGTCAATGTTCAAAGTCAACAAAAAACATCAAGAGCTTTTCCAAAAAATGCCCATGGCAAAATATACAGTATCCTGGAAGTGACTAATACAATATCATTATTATGAACCCTATCACAAATACTCAACTAAATCCCAATTACCAACATGTGAATTCTCCACAGAAAATGGGCAAAGCCACCCTGGGCTTTCCAGTCTCCTCCCCAAAACTACCTCCTTCTGCCGCCTGCGAATAACGGCTCAATTAACCTTAGATTTGACCAAGCCTTAGACAAGAGAACCAGCTGGATGGAGGGGAAACTTCTAAAATGAACTGAAATTATTTTTGGTGCCTGGGATTCCATGCCCCACTCTCTATTAGCACATATAATTGGGAATTTTTTTGTCCAAGACAGTGGCCGGCTTTTATCCATAAGTATTTCCTTGCATTTGATGGTCAACATCACCAGGCCACTCAAGAGTCCTTTCTGGAATGCCAAGATACAAATCCACTTTCTCCATGAGAAGACAAAAACAGAAGTTAATCAACTCGCCCAAGTCCATGAAGCAATTTGGCCGTTGGCCCAGGAAGAGACTGTCAAGACCTCTGGAGACCTCACCCATAAGACGCAGAATGTCAGAGCCAGAAGGGAACTCACCGATCAAACTATGCATTTTTAAGGTAAAAAATCCAAAGCCCAGAAATGGCTAGAAATTGGTACCTTCTCCACTTTTCTTTCCAGTGACCTCTTCCCCCTGCCTTGAGCATCAAACCACCTTCAAAGTTCTTTGTCACTTCACAGGTCTTGTAAACTTGAGCCAACTATTGAATGCAAGACCATTTTAACACTTCCTGACTAATCAACTTTATGGAGAATCCCTACATTTTCCAAAAAAAACAATGCTTTTGGTTATTATGACCAACCCACCCATTAAAGATGGAGAAAAAGGAAATTATAAATATGCTTTGTTTTTGTGACCGCACATTTTATTATACAAGCAGCAAATAGTCTATCTCCTCTTTTACAATTTAAGCTCCTAACTCAACAAAAACCACAGGCCCAAGTGGGTTAAAGGAGGCAAAACTGAGTACTTTCCACACAGTTCAGAGAATAACTGTTTTCACAGCAAGCTCACATAAACGCTATGTGATATTAACACATGCCTGCTATGTGGAAGCCTGCTTACCAAGCTGTGAAAAGACCCGTGTTTGCTATGGAACCTGCAAAATTAATCTTCTCAGTGCTTATAAAGCAGAAGGAAAACGCTCTTTTTGGGATGTCAAGCTGGCTTCTAAACAATCCTTTGGCGAAAATGGGCATGCCCAAAAGGGCGGGGCCCAAAGAGGTGTGTCACTCCGGGTATCAATTCCTATAAATCAAATCCTGACAATCACCACAATATTTTAAAAAGAATGAATTATGATTCACGGGCCTTCAAACCTTTATTACCACAAGAACATTCTCGGTAGAGGAGGAAAGAAACCTACTGTGACTTGATTAATGGCCAAAGCAAGACAATAAAATAAATCTCATAAATATAAGGAAAAAAACTGAATGACTGCTCTTGCTCTGAGGTTAGGCATGTAAATAATTCCATCCTGGAATGAATGTACATAAAGATTTTGTTTACCCTCCCAGCAAATACAACAACCAGACTCAGATTTTCATCGGGTAAAAATAATAGCTAATTTGTTTAGCTAATGGCTAGTTAGGAACATTTGATAAGGGGCAATAATATTTAATTCCCAACTAATTCAATTCTCAAACTGCCAAATATCAAGCACCTCAATCTGGAAATCTGATGCCAAGAAGGAAAGAAAAAAAAGCACTGTCCATCAGTAATGTGTAGAGAGTTTTTTCTAAAACCCAGTTTTCCCCCTGGTAGAACAGAACCTGTCTACAGAATTGCGGGAAGCTTAACCAAGTTTAGTTAACCCCACTGCTTAGTGGTTACTCCCTAAGCCTACTAAACGTCTCTGGGCTGGAACCCCTGGTGCTAAAATTATCCTGGCAAAGTTAAAACTCCCAACACAATCAAGGTACCCGACAGCCAAGACCTACAACTCTTTTGCAGAAACCAGTAGGCTGAGGATCAAGAAAACAGAGGAAGGGGAGGCAAAGACTGTTGGTTAACTAGTTAAGCGCTGAGTTCTCCTGCTTGTTATCCTTCCAGTGGGCATGAAAACCACATTTTTTATCACCAGCTCCTTTCCTGAAAGGGTAAATGATGCCAAAGGTTGGTACTAACTGGAACAACTTATAACTCCTTTCTTAAAGCCGTCCCCATGGCCTGCTGAAAAGTGCCCCCGGACTGGCTTCCAGCAGGCATTTTTAAATGAACTCTTCAGCCACTCCTGGATCGGTCATTCCTAAGCATGACTTCCATGGATTTCACAAGACAGCCGAGGCCACGCTGTTAGTAACCCGCTTCGGCACGTTCACTTGCCAAAGCTGCTTCTAGTCTGGAGAATACTTTCCACAAAGCTGGCTCTAACAGGCCGGTGGAAGGCACACGGAACGATCAGAAGGCGTTTTCTTTTAACCTAAGGATGGCAGGCGCACATGCTCCAGTCCAGTGCTGGCCAGAGGCTGCCTGCCAGGTGCTCTCGGCCTCCGCCGGTGAATGAGTGGTTTGGTTTTTGTTTTTAATATCCATTTTTTCAGACTACCAGCAGTAACTTCCCAGTCTCCTAAACCGAAGTTGGGGAGTGAAGGGGCAGGTTTACCCCCTTACACCTTTCTCCCATCTGGGTGGCCACACTAACTTCTGGGGAGTACCCAGCCTCCACAGAGCCTGCACGCACATATACATAACACATATGCATCATGTCAAAAACCCCAAAAGGCACATCCCCAGAGTCCTGCGGTTTCTTGGCTGGAGAATGAAGGCTTTATAACATCACAACCTTCAACTGCAAGCCCACCACCACCACCCTTTAAGCCAGGGTTGTCAAATTATAGCGCCCACCTCACCCCTCCCCCTTTGCTGGGATGCTGTGCAGCCCAGAGAGGGAGAGGAAAGGAGGGAAGCAGGGAGAGGCCCTGCTTACATACTGAAAGTAAAAGGGGGAGACTTTTCCTTCTCTGTCCCCCCCTTCCCTCCCCACCCACTCCACCCCCGTCTTCTCACGGAGCATCCCCCAACTAATTTTTTTAAAAATAAAACTTAAGCTTCTTGCCTACCTTGGCTGTTTCTGCAACAAGTGCATGGGCAATCCGACAAGAAGACCAATCTCCGTTTGGGGGGTGAGATGGGGGGCGAGCAGAGCTGATGGAGTAATTTCAATATTAATTTATGTCAGCCGCCTTCTCACAGCGCTACTCACTTACAGTACTGCCCTCATCCTGTAAACAAATATCGCTCCGCCAGGAAACATACTCCCCAGATGCAAGCCCCTCTTCCCAGCAGGGAACCTGGTCCCTCGCCCCCCCAAAATAGTGTGCTCCCCAACTCTGGGTAGGAAGGCCGGGGTTTCCAAAGCACCAACCTACCACCTCCGCCACCACCCCAGCAAGAAACTTACTCCGTCCGTCTACGCCTCCACCCTCCCTTCAGGAAATCTACTCTCCATATGCATTCAGCCTCCCCGCAGGAAATCTGCTCCCCCCTCCCCCCTTCTATATACATGCACCCCTCCCTCTGCTCCTCCCCACGCGCCCTCCCCGGCCAGAAACTTACTAGTGAACAAGCGTGCAGGCTCTCCTGATCCTGGAAACTTACTCCCAGATATAGCGCCCGCCAGCCCCCTTTCCCAACCCTGCTCCCCTTCCTGCCCTCCGCCGCAAGCAACTCCAAACTCTCCGCATCCAGCCACTCTCCCTCCCGGGTGGAAATTCGCAGCGCCGGGCTGCGCGCGTGCATCCACCCTCCCCTTCAGGAAACTTACTCCCCATCTGCATGCACCGCCTCTCAGCCATCGCTTAGAGGGAAGGGGGTGTGCTGGGGAGACAGAAATACATATGTATCTCTCGCCCCTCCCCCGGCCGCAGCCCACTCGGGGCCGAGCCGCGGTAACCTGGCCTTACCTTTTGCGTTGCTCCCCACCCTCGCCCCCTCCCTTAACCCTCCTTATCCGCTCCCCGATACCCCTCCTTTTTTCACCCATTACCCACCCCTAGCAACCGTTCCCAAGCTCCTCTCGGCCTCTTTTTTTTTTTTTTTAAATCCAGGATGCAAATTCCTCCCCTGTCAGCAAATCGACTGTCAAATTATTTTCTTGCAAAAGGAGAAAGGCGGGGTGGGGTGCGGGGGAGCAGAAGCAAAAAGGGGGGAGGGCGGGGGACGGGAGGGCGAGGGACAGAGGAGGGGAGAGATATCCCTCCGCAGAGCTGGGTCTGGCCGCGGGTGGGGAAGCAGGAAGTAAGGTGTCCAGCGCCGAGGCCGGCGGGTCCTCAGCCGCGGCCCCCGCCCGCATCCCCTGTCCCCCGGGGCGCCGCGCTCGGGCTGGCGCTGGCCGCCCGGCGCATTGTTCACAGCCTTCCCGGCGGTGCACTGCCGACTTTATTTGTGCGCTCTGCGTGTGCGTGAGGTTGCACCTTTTGTAGGCTGCCGAGTCTCTGGACGAGGATGGGACTGGGGACACCGGCCCAGCTGCGGCCCCGCGCGGGACCTGTCAGCCCCGGGGTGCGGCGGACTCTCTGGCGTGGCCGGAAAATCGAGGCCCGCGAGAAAGCGGCGTGGCCGGGAAGCTGCTGCCTTAGACCCGGACCAGTGCAGGATTGCTTCCTGCGTAGCCGTCCCGGTTACTGTTACGCGCTTTGCAATCTAATGCCTTGGGTTGGGTTTTTGTTTTGTTTTATTTTTTTTCTTAAGGGTTTGCAAAGATGCCAGGGTCTAGGTGGGCAGCGAGGAGACGGTCTGCGCCCACCCCCTCCACACCCTGGCCTCGGTGGGGCTGGGAGAGGGCTGGGGCTCCCGGGAAGGGGCTGGAGGTTCCGAAGCGCGCGGCTCCATCCCTCCGCCCCGATGGGGGCGGGGAAGGGGTGCTGCAGACGGCCCTGGAAATGCAGCTCTCCAGGGAGGGGTCTCCATCTCCGCGGCGCTGCAGGCCGGGGAGGGAGGTTGCCTAGGAGAGGGGCCGGGCGGCGGAGGGGAGGGGCGGCGAGGGGCGCGGGTGCTGCCGCGGCGCGCGCCCGCCCCTCCTCGCGCGCCATGACTGTGGAACGTGGTGCCGGGGAGGAGGAACGGCCGCCGGGGGCCGCCCGGGGCTGCTCGGCATTGGTGCGGAAACCCGAGCCCGGAGTCGCTCCCTCGCGCTGTCTCCTCCTCCTCTGCGGGGGAAACCGCTGCACCCAAACCGAGAGCTTTTTGCGAGCAGGGGGCTGGGCGCGGGCTGAAAGGCGAGCCAAAGGTTCAAACCTCGGCGGCGCGGGCTCGGGGGAAGGGGGGTGGGGAGGATGCCGAGAGCAGGGCGGCACCGGTCGGTCCAGGTGCGGAGCAACCTAGCCCGAGACCCCAGCATTTCCAGGCTGCTTTTCTGGTCCGAGGAAACGTGAGCCAAAGGTGGTTCAGCTAAACACATTGCCTCGAGCCGGGTTCGAGGATCTATCTCATGGAGGGCCCGCAAGACAGCGAGTTTTTTTGCACGAGAGAAAGTTACACCATTTTTTCCGCCCCTGTGGGGAAATCTTTGCCCCTTTCCCAAAATCTTGCGCAGGGTAAATAAGCCTCTCCGGCTACCCAGACCTTCGCACTGTCCCCCACCCCACCCCCACTCGGGCGCTGGGTGTGGACAGGGCGGGGGATGGCTATATGGGAGCTTAAAGCATGAGGTCATGGGCGGCGGAGGCTGCTGCCAAAAGTGCCCGAGGTTTTTGTGTTTTTTGAGGGGTAACGGTTCTCCGTCTTCAGCGGTGGGAAGTCCTCCCTTCTAACCCTACCAATTTTGGGGTACCTGGTCCAGAGAGCCCCTGAAAGAGAAGGGGGATCTGGTCAATTTAGCTCAATGTGCGTTTGGCCAGTGCCCAGCCCTTTATGGAGACCTTCCACAGAAGCGAAGAAAGCCGAGGGACATCGCACAGCGTCGGGGGGACTGGAAAAGGTTTCAGATGTTTGGTCCCCGCCCCCCCCCTTTCCTCAGTCCTTGGTCATCTTCCAACTGGGCTGTTTTCTGTAATAGCCTCCTGCCCCTCTCCGACCCAAGCGACTATAGGGGCTTTTCTAAAACTCCGAATGACACTCATTTAAAGCCTTTAAGCCCCTCCCCGTTTCTCTTAGAATAAAGCCAAGTTCTGATTTCACCCCTACAGATGTTGTGAACCTCATCATGCTTTGTTTGGGGGGCGAGGGCATGTTCCCAACCCTTGCCCTTCCACCTCTTACTAACGCCTGCTAGATCTTCAGGATTCCACTCATCCCTCACTACCTCCAAGAAGCCTTCCTGAGAGTACACCCTTATCTTTAATTCCCTCGGGGCGGGAGGTGGGCGGGGAAAGACCCACCCTAGACCTCTTGGCAGCAGGGCTGTGGCCGGAGCTGGCCTCAGAGGCGGCCTTTTTCCAAGTGGCTGAGGAACAGCCAAGCTAAGTTTGACTGCCATCACTGTCCCGGGGCCTGACCTGAAAGGTAGTTGGTTAGGACGGAACCTCAAAACACAGTTTAAAGAGACTTGGGAAAACTGGGCATCACCCAGAAACCCCAGCCCTTCCACTTTCCACCTCCACTGCGCGGTGACAAGACACATACACACACGTAATTCGAAGGGAGGTCTTTTAATCTAAAACTTCCTGGGGCAGATAAGAAAACTGAGGCTGAGAGAAAGTTAGTTAATTGCCCCCAGCCAGTGAGGAAATTCACACCTTGGAAATTCACACCAGCTCCTAAACCAGAAGCAGCAGAGAAGTTTGGGATTTGGGAACCAAGGTGTATTTTGCTACTCCAACGACTATTTTGTTACCTTCAAAGGACCCCCTTCAATGTTGGCCCACTCTGTTCATTGCCAACAGATAGTATTGCCGGATGGGAAGCCCTGCAGGCTCTGACCTTGGGCAAGTCACTTAACCTCACTTGGTTCAGTTTCTTTGCCTGGAAAATGGGCATGGTGGTACCTATAGTGTAGTGTTATTGTAAGGTTTAAGTGAGTTAATTTCGGTAAAGGCCTTAAAACAGTGTCAAGGCAAGTCGTTGATTATTTGTGAACGGGGTAATGAGCCCCCTACTTCCCAAGGGCTCTAAAAAAGCAGGTCCCCAGAGTCATAACTGATTTAAGCATCAAAAATTATCTATGGCCTAAAGGCCTGGGAAAGCACCAATAAATGCACGGTCAATACATACAAAGACCTCATTGAGCAAATAGAATCAGCCCTCAACAATGCATACTCTTGAAGGCAATCCACAGGGTGAATAAAACAGATCTGTGAGCACTGGTTCTGGACTCTTAGAGTAAGGGTCAGAGGGAGGATGGCTTAAATAAAATATTCGCTTGGATCTTTGAAATTAGAGTTGGACTGAAATAGTCCCAATCCTGGTGCAAAATCTGCCCTGCATGACCGAAACCCTCATAGGGCTGAACAAAATGTAATGGAATTACTGTTGTCATTAAGTCCTCGTCTTCCCATTCTCACCACTCACCCTCATAGCAAAAGACTTTTTTTAAATGTAATCCAAATCATGTCCAAAGCTCCTTTCTCCAGTCCAGGCAAAGTCATCATCCTACCCCTATCCCTGTTCCCACCCCTGCAGCCTCAATCCTAAACGGGCTCTATTAACAATGATGAGCGACCATTTCCTGAGCTACCGATGAAAGCAAATGATTAAACACTTTGTGTTTCTTTCTTCTCTTCTGCACTAGTAATCGCTAACATTTCTTGAGCACTTTCTATGTGCCAGGCACTGTGCTAAATACTAGACATGTATCGTCGTATTTAATCTGGTCCAAATCGTCATCCTCATCCTTATTGGCAGATGCAAACAGAAATGGGGGCTCAGAGAAATATGTAACTTGCACCAGTTTGCATCTAGGCCAACCTGAACCCAAATCCTCTCTCTCTTAAATACTGGCCTTCTTGCCTCTCTGAAACAGGAAAAATGCTGGTAGCCTGCATCAGAAGGAATGCACTGGAGGCTTTGGAGTTAGGCAGACCTTAATTCAACTTCTGTGTCTGGCCCCTACCAGCAATGAGACCTTGGGGAGGTTTCTTAACTTCTCTGAGCCCCAGAAGGTATGGAACCATACTTTCTTCTTTGGTTTAATGTGAAGGTTAAATAAATGTGAAAAATGGCTTTTAAAATGCCTAGTAAACAACTAAATGCAATGTTTAGATCTCATGTGGATCTGATTTCAATAAACCAAGTGTTACAAAGACATTTTTGGGATAATCAGGGAGATATAAATGTGGACTTGATATCAAATATTAAGAAATTAATAATTTTCTTGGACATGGTAATGGTATTGCAGGTTGTTTTTTTTTTTTTAAGTTATTGTCTATGAGAGATGCACAATGAGGCATTTTGGGCGAAAGTATATCTAGGATTTACTTTCACATATTCCAGTCCCACCCCACAAAACCACTAGATAAATAAAACAAGATTCGCAAAATACGGAACATTGTTGAAGTTATTTATTATTCCTATTCCACATGGAATTTTCACACTATTCTCCCTACTTCTGTCAAATGTTTGAAATGTTTCAAATAAATTTGAAATAAATTTAAAAGTAAAATAAATATAACCTATTTAAAAACATTAACATTAAAAATCATCAGGCTTATTGAATTACTATTGTTATCAATAATTATGAAATTTTAAAAATTTTATTGAAACATAGAACTAGCATAAAGTAGCCATGCAGAAATGGCAATTTTGTCACTGTGAGCCATGCAGGACAGCAGGTAAGCCAGGAAGGGTGCAGACAGAGCCATGTAGAGAGCAAGGTAGACAGAGGTAATTGTTAAGGACTCATTTAATCCCACAGAGGACAACATACAGGAAGGTAAATGATGGGAGGGCTGGGTGACTGATTAAAATTGGAGGCTAGTTTTCCCCAAAAATGTGCATCACTGCAGAGCCACTTGAAAAATGCATGGACTCAGAATCAGATGCACTGGGTGAAATTCTCAACTCTGTGCTTAAGTTCCGCCACTCAGTCCACAACTGTGACTCTGAGCTCCCACATTGGTGGTTTGAATGCAAGACCT